CTGCACTCGTGCTGGCTTTGTTGTTCCTTCGAAGGTCAAGCTTCTTCAACAACTGCAAGATCCGAACAATAGGACTTGCAAGATCAACTTGTAAGAGAGTTGACCTACCCCCTTTTAATCAATAAGTTTGATCAAAAGTAATATCCTTCAACGTGGTGTGGTGCTTGAGGCAAGGAAACCTTCAAGTGTTTACACTATAACTTTTTGGAAGGAGGAGAAATTTGCTTCTGGATAAGGAGTTTAGAAATCTCTCTTTATCAAGCTTTTTGGGCTAACTGTGAATGAGATAGCTTTAGTGATTGCTTCGTTGTGTTGTTGTATCAACGTATCTCATCGTTTTCTCTTCAGTCTTACAAGGATGCTATTTATAGCTGGATTGGATAATCTATCCGTTGAATCATAATAGATTATCCGTTGCATTTGCTGGCTTCAATTTTGAATGAAGATTGTGATTTGAAGATTCTTCGTTGGAGTGGGTGTTTGGACGTACCCAATTGTTGAGAAAGGATTCCTTCTTCCACAGAATCCGTCTTCTAGCCGTTGTTCAAGAATTCAAGACTGTAGCACTTTACTCTGTTTGTCTTCTAGTTCTTGTTTAGGAATTCTGGACAGGTTCTTCAATTTTTAGAGATACAGACTTTGTCTTCGAGTCATTTGTTCTTGAATCAGCATACTTATCTTCAATCTAGCCGTTGAAAATCAAGAGATTGATTTTTCCTTACCAACGGGTAGAATTTCTTCATTCAAGACTTAGATAATTTTCTAAGTCTTTTCTCATTTGTCCGTTTTTTGAGAATTCCGGTCTTCCTTGAGGCATCCGGTTCTTAGCTGACAAATTCGGAGAAGTCATTCTCAGACTTCCGGGTGAGAGAGAGATCCGCGCTAGTCTTCCGATTTGGGTGACTTAGCCTTCAGCGGGTTGTAGCGAGACATCCGGTTCTTATGTAGTCTTCCGGAACAGAGGATTTTCATCTGCTTGAGAAATCCTTACTTGTCTCTAGCTTTTCCGATTAAGATATCCAATTTCCATATCACTG